ATATTTAATGGCTATATCAGAATAGCGACAAAATGTTGTAGCAGAAGTGCAAGTGGCACGAACTTTTAGGACGACCTAATAGATCCGTCGCGTTTTAGGATAATTAATAGTAACTCAAAAGTATCGACGGGCGACGTCGATGAAATTCCAGAGGACTTGCGCGCGAAGGTCCTCGAGTGTAAGTTTGACTGGTTAACGGAGGTTGTGTACAGCGATAGAGTTTAAATTAGTATGGTACGAGATATTTATCGTTGAAGTTATGGCTGTTATTCGCGTGCTAAGATTTAGCACAGGTTTAGAACTAGTCCTTAGGTTAGTGGCTCGAGTGTGATGAGTGGGTCGAGATGAGACCAGGAGATTTAGAGTGTTGACTAGCTATTCTTTAGCTAATTGTTATTTGATACCGTTTGAAGTAAACGTGACGATAGAGACATTACAAAGACTGACATTGTACAGAGCTCGACGAGTTTAATAAGAGTCCCGAAGAAGTGCCTTGACCATGGATAACTGGTAGAGATGAAATCGTTTGTAGACTGTTGTCGAACTGAATTTAAGGGCCTTATTCAACTCGCCGAGCATACGTAAGACTAATTGACGATTACACAGACACTGGACATAATTGTAAAAGAAGAGAAGACGATAGTATTGCAATTTTAACGATTTTATTTCGATCGATACGTACTTTAAAACGATAGCTTTCATACAAACATTAAAAACATGTAAATATATAAAACACTCTGAGCACGTAATAAAAGCCTTATTCTTAAAATTAAATATTTTCTCTGTATAATTTATTCGTAACAAAGTACTAGCTGTACGTTATTACATAAATATCCCAGTTTATAAATGTATTATAAGTATTGTTTAAATTCAGTATTATTTATAAACTCCCCATGGAGTTTTATGGATAAGCTCTAATGGCCTCTGGTATAAGCTTTTTCGAGGCTGGTCCTTGGAGTTCTTGTACCAGATCGTTGACTGACTTATCGTCCTTTGTATTAGAGATAATCTCTGGTACGATAAGTTCTGGTCTTACCTATTACTTCGCACTCTTGACATAAAGTTCTGCTAATATTTTAGCAGATAAACCAAAACGCCACCACTGCCAAAACTTAAACGTTAAATATAGCGTGAACTACTAACTGTGTGCCCGCAAAACCAGGGTCGTTGGTTTCAGACCATCGAGCTCTATCGCTGTACAAAATCTCACCGGTTAAACGCATTTATATCTAGACAATTGCCATTGTTAAGGCTCCTCGAATCTATCGTAGAGGAAAGATAGATTATTCGAATTGACAAGGAACGTTTTTATGAACATTCCTAGTGTTGTACCTTAAATACCTCGGAACATATGTACAAATTACTAGATAAGTCTATACATAAACGAGTACTATTTATATAGATTATATTATATTTTCGTAAAGACATCTTTTGTGAATCTCAGTCAAACAGACACATAAGCAGGTTTACTGGAACGAGAATCAAAATAGCGTCGACCAAAGAGTAATTCACGAGCAGGCTTGACAGTTGAGTAAAATGTCTTTCAGAGCTTTTCGTATTTTTCCATTGTTTTTTTTTTTATTTTATAGAATTTTCTATATATGTACATATATAAATATTTAGATTATATGATGGCAAATAACAATCATTTTACTCAGTTTCAAGCATCTACAGGAGAAATACATGTCAGTGGTCCTTAGCCTTTTTGTTGAAAGATCATTTTAGATCAACAAGAATGTTTCATGTATATAGTCCAAATATTATTTTCATAAGTATAGAAAATCACATTAAAATTGCGTGATGTGCTCGTAAAGGAATTAATTTTAGAACGTGGACCACAGAGGATTAACGAGAATTCAATATTTTCAGTTTTTAAATCCGAAACCATGTTCAGAATTTGCTAAAAAGAAATAATGTATCGTATGTTTATACATTTATTAAACTCAAGCATCGGTTTATAGAGACGCAAATATTTTTCGAGATATGTACATAGGAACTGTAAAAAACTATACAGAGCCATGTATATTATTTACAAAGTAGATTAACATCTAAGTAAAGATGCAGCAGAAGATTGTTTCGAATGTGGAAACTGAAAACATTTTATTTTCGTCGTAAAATCTAATCGTCCAAGTAACTCGACATGCTTAAAGAATAAGTAAACGGTACGAGATTAACGAATTTATAATGCAAACGGTGCAGAGGAAAGAAAACAATTGATCTGGTGAGAAGTACATCGTTTAAAAGTTCACGATAAGGAACATTCTACAAAAATTGACACGTAAAATGACATTCTTTATACATAACTATTCTTACCTAGATTTTAATGCGTACTACAGCCTATAAGGTTTTCCCATAGCTTTCATTACTCTGCTATCGTAAAAAAGATCACGATGAAATCACGTTTACGCTTGTCGAGTTACTTCAACTACGAGACTTGTTAATACTAATGTAACACGAAACAAATCTTGTCTTTCGCAACACATCACGCCAAGGATCACTGATAAAGGATGATAAAGGGCAACGCGAAGTGTTTATTTTCTATTTTGAATTCTCGTTTCTGGCAATCGGTGGCGCGATCTATCGTTAAAAGATCAAGGAAGATCGACGGTCAATACTTATAGATTGTAAGGTGTACTTCAATCACATGCTGACATATTTATGACGAAAGAACGAGACTAGGGGACGAGGACGCGATAATGATTAATAATTAATAGTCGAAGAAGAACGAGACGAAGACGGCTAAAGAAAATTCCTCGATTCTAGTCATAAAAACACCGAGTGAATCGTTGCTAAGTGCGGGTGTCCATGGTGTGCAATCTATCGATATCGACCATGTAAAGAGGATTTGGCTGTGCGTGTGCATTTACAATCACCAACTCGGAATTTCATCGTCATTTCGATGCTCGACGTTTCGTTTCTTCCTTCATTTTCGATACAAGTCGCAAGTAACGACTGCTTTCTAACGTTTTTCTCCAAAATAAGTCGATTTCCAGCGCGAAGCTTCAACAGGTTCTTAGCTTCCTCGAGTTGACGATCTTAACGACCATTCTTTCCAGGAACTTTTCGTTTTTTTTTTTTATTCCCCATGAATTGAATTTTAAGTTCAACCATCGCGAGAACTGTTTTAGGCAACGATCGCTCGAGTCGTGCTTTTTTTTTCTTTTTATTTTGCTTTACGTAACCTTTTTTTCAGTTCTTTTTTTTCCAGAACTCGTGTTCGTCGAAACACGTTGACGAGAAGTGACCAGCGCTCGAAGTCGACTGCGACTCAATTCGTTCAAAGTTTCCTTTAAGTTCGTTTTAATCCGAATTTAACATTGTTTCTTATCCACGACGCGGTTGTTTGTAGTTTCTCGAACTGTTTTAAGCAAGGAAACTGTACAGATTCGTGTACGAGGGGGAAAGACGAATGTTTATAATTATTTAAAAACGGTAGCGTCGAGAGCAGTGTTCAATTATTTCGATAATGGAAAAAATACGTGCAAAATTGCCTCTAGCTTTTAATAACAGAGGGTATAGTCTATCGATAAAGGATCAATTTATTTTTGTTTTCTTTCTTTTCTATTTTCTCGCACACGAAAAAGTGAAGCAATGTTTGCATCGACAATAAAGCGTGCATAAGACTGAGCAGAAAAAGAAGTCTAAGTGTTTCGTTGGTCTACGTAAATCGTTTCGTTACTCGTGGCGCAATACAAAATTATTCTCTGCTAAAATTGTTTTCTTTTTCTTTATTTTCGACGTCCAGAGTACACGTTTTCGTTCTTAAATGGATTCAAATTCAACATCAAAGCTTGACCCTTTCTTTTCGTTCGCTGCGAATACAGATATTGCGGACGAGGCGTGAATCTTCACGTTCGCGCTCGACGATCATGTGGATCGACGAAGAAACATGGTTCCTAACGTAGCATAAGTTTAGTTGAGTAACGCAATGTTTCGACATTCCTACTATTACATATATGTAATCAGAAAATATATAAGTTATTTATCTAACCCGATGTCCGTTTCTACCAATCTCATCCACGATGTTCAATTTCACGAATTCCTGTTCGTTCCTACGAGAATTTAATTCGTTACACGATATCCCGGCTTCCTCGAGTCTATATTTACGAATCTATTAAGTAATGTTAAAGTAACGGGAAAATCGGACAATGTTGTATTGAAATCGTGTTTTATTTATTGTAAGTTCATTGTAAGTTATGCAAGTGAAAGTTGTACTATCGTTTACTAGACATACACGTTAAAATATTGTGGTGGTGGTTCCTGTAAAGGGACAGAGGATGCCACCACAATATACTTCATTTCAACTGTTTATTTAAAGTACGTGATTGTACGATCAGTTTACACTGTCTTTCTTTGCAATTTCTATCATGTTCCATAGTATATCTTTCTATTTCATACTTTCTTAATATTACTGTTCTTAATATTATCTTTCACATTACATCTTTTGCATATTCCATAAGTTCGATATTTGGTTAGATAACTTTAAATAACATCACAACTTTTCACATCATTTCGCTTAATGCTATCCTTAGCGTAGCTTTATAAAAAAATAAAACACCACGATATGATACTTGATTGCGTTTTTCCTTTGTTTTTGTTAGAAACGAAGTTACGATGTAACAAAGTAAAAGTCTCCGAATATTAAAGTTACTTCACTCTAGGGTACAATCGCGACGATCATTTGTCACGAGTGTCGAAACAAGTTCGAGGTTATCGAAGCACGATTTTGATCCTCTGGATTAATACATGAAGACAAAGATCGTTTTAAGGGCGCAGCGTCGATGCCGTTTCTCGAGGAAATGAAAACAGCGTGGACGCCGGACCTGATGGGTCCAATTTACAAAAAGAGACGCGTAACGTTGAGAGACGTTGGTTACTTCGTCATTTAAGATTTAGCGTACGCTTTCTGAAACTATCATTTGACTTTGTCGCGTTAACGTCGCGCCACGTTTACCATCCAGGTGTTGAGCTCCTATCGAGACGATAAATGCACGAGACTAATGGCGACTTTCGTCCCTGACGAGCTCATCTACGAGCCGGACCTGACGAAAAAAGATTTCCGCAAGTTCAACGCGGTTTTAGCCTTGATCGACGTCTCCCGATTCTTCGACCTCTACGAGAAACATTACAGCGCGGAAAACGGCGGCAGTTTCGCTTTGATCACCCTGCTGAACAGTTACATTAGCGTCGTCGTCGAGGAAGTGTACTATACTAAAGGGGACGTGTTGAAATTCTCGCGTACGAGTTCCGAATTGAGTTCTGAACGTAATTGTAAAAATTGCAGATGTAACTTTTGAATTCTTTCGCCATTTATTGACTTTAGGGGCGGACGCCTCCGTTCTCTCTGTCCGCCCCTAAAGTCAATAAATGGCGAAAGAATTCAAAAGTTACATCTGCAAAAATATCGAAAAGCCTGTGGCGTAAGATATCTACTGGAAGAAAATAAAAAGAGAGTAAGGAAAAAAAGATCTTTTGGTAAGACAAGTACACCAGCAAAGTGTAAAAACACAGAGGCGAAAAGTAGCCTCAAAATAGCCTCAAAATAGCCTCAAAGTTCCCACTATAAACACACCAAACAATTATTGACGCTATCTGGCGTTAATGGCGCGAGAGCTGCTTTTGTATTATTTGATATTAATTTACGATGATAATTGTAGCCAATATTCTCACCGATTAAGTAGCTACGTGCCAGACTGTAATTTTCATAAATGATCAGGTAGCGGACTGCTGGTAATGTGGAAGGTGAACAACAACGACTTCTTCTCCAAGATGGTGCACAGCGTAATTTTGAATGGGCAGAAGATCCTGGCGAGTATCGCGATGGTGAAGAGCAAAATCGCCGCGCCAAAAGGTACCGCACGTCGTCGCTTAACGTTTCGCAAAACGTCTTTGGCTCTTGTATCGACAGCGTTAACTGTCGCTTGAATTTTAAACAGCGGACATCGCGATCTCGGCGGGTGAATTGATCTTCTCCGTGATCGGCGACGACAACTCGAGGCATTTCGTGATCAGCGGAATGCCAATCGAGGATTTGAAGCATGCGAGGAGAATCTGTCTTCCAGGGGACCTAGTGCTGTCCTCCAGCGCCTGGAAGCATTGCGCGCCGAGTCAGTACGAGTACGTCATCAAGGACTCCAGTAACATCAAGGTGAAAGAAAAAAAAAAGAGAAAAAAAAAGAAAGAAAGGTATCGGAAAGTATAGTTAACAGCAGCTTTTCACAGATCATCAAGGTTCTTGGTCCACCGACCGAAGCAGAGAACCAACAGTCCACGTTCTCACCTCCCAGACCATCAGAAGGGAATCCATCCATCGATCACGAGATGAATCCAGACATCATCTCGACGGTCTCCGATATTTCTTTGGTTTCCGAATTCGACTTGATGCCCTTCCGAGGTGAATACATTTCGTACGACTGAAATTTTTAATATTATACCAAGTAAATTAATTTTCCAGCGAGAGTTTCCACGTTCGAAGCGTTGAAACGACGTCTCGGCGTTTTCCTGGAAACTTACATGATGGCGTCGGTGTTGGACCAGGTAGCCATTTGCAAACTTTCAGAACTTCTCTAACACGGAACATATTTTTCAGATCGTCAAGGATCGGCCGCTGGAGTACCTGACGGAAGTGAAGCGAGTGACGGTCGTTTCCATCAACGTGTTACCGAGCAAGTGTTCCGACTACGAGCTGATCTCGATGGTCGACCAGCTCTACAACCTTCTCCAAAAGTACAACAATGATTATCCTAATTCGTAATTAAAATAAATACGGATTTATGGTTGGAATAACTAATTCTTACATCTGACAGTAATTATAAATACTATTCAGCATTAACCGCATAACAACCGCATACAATTTTGTTTCAGCATAGTTCAACGATATTCCGGGCACGTCAGCGTAAGTAACGTCTACGACAAGGATATTCTGTTTTGCGTCCTGTACGGAATCAAGGGGTACGACAGCAGGCTGAAAGACATGAACAGGGCGAAACGCGGTGTTTTGTCCGCGCTGGAGATCATGGATGAGATGAAACGCGTCAGCGGAGTTAAAACTGTCTTCATAGGCATCTCGACTGGTAACTTTACACGATAAACTATGTTTGTTGCAAACTTTGTTTGTTCACAAACGTTAGTTTGCATCCTCAGGTCTAGGTAGCTCCGATATCGATATATCTTGTATATAATAATAATAATAGTAATAATACTTTATTTACGGGCAAACCTGTCCTTGATATCAAGTACAATGTGATAACATGACCGCAAGAAAAAACAAAACAAAGATGGAGACGAATACGGTATCACTATGATGTAACGTGTTCAACCTTGATTGCGCCTCTGCAAAATTGCAACTACTGACCTTTTAAAAGCTAAAGGTGAGCCATGAAAGAGATCGACAGACATATTAAGTCTGTTAGTCATCGCACATATTCTTGTGACACAATTTTGTTTTGCAATCGAGGTACGATATGGATCTAAGTAAAAAATATCACTGTTTCGAAGTTGTCTGCTTGGAGTATTGAATTTCAAAAGTTCCAGTATTCTGGGACATACAATTTTACTATTGACTATTTTAAAAAGTAGTATGAGGTCAGCTACGGTTCGGCGCTGCTTAAGCGTGTGCATTCGCAAAGTGCGAAGTATATTATCGTATTCGTATCGCTTGCTACATCCATGGGTGTCCCTATCTTATAAGAAACGTGCCTTAAGAATTTATGTTGAACATTCTCAATCATTTTCGTAAGGCCACTTTGTAGCGGATTCCAGATTTGAGAAGCATATTCAAGATGCGGTATAAACTAACGAGGAGTAAAGAATTTTAAATGTCTGAGGGGTGTTTGAAATCTGCGAATTGTCGTAAGATGAAGCCCAGAGCTTTAAGAGCAGCCTTTTTTGTGCTTTGGATATGGGTTACGAAAGAGAGGTTCGAGGTAAAGGTGACACCAAGATCACATACTTCCTCTCGAACTTCCAGGCCAGAGTTGTTAATCGAGTAGGGAAATTTAATTGGGTTTTTCTCCCGACCAAAATGAACGGTGTGACATTTCGAGATGTTAAACAACAGCATGTTATCCTTACTCCATTCGCTAAGTCTATCCAGGTCATTCTGCGAAGCGGTGGCATCCAGGATTGAGTCGACTCTTTTGAAAATCTTTAAGTCATCAGCATATAGTAAACATTTGCAGCGCTGAAAAGCCGCAGAGATGTCATTGACGAAAAGAATGAATAAAAGCGGAGCTAGATGCGATCCTTGCGGGACAACCGAGGTAACAGATACCCCTCTGGATAAGAAGCCGTTATATTTCACAAAGAGTGACCTGTCACATAGATAGTTTGATAGCCAATCAATGATGTTGCCCCTGAAACCTAAGAGGCTTAATTTTTTAATAAGGAGATCATGACTGGTGGTGTCAAAAGCTTTGCGAAAGTCTGTATATATCGTGTCAACTTGGTGGCCATGGTCTATCCTTTGTGACACATAATTTTGATATAGCAGCAAATATAGAATACATGGTGTCATTTAAAAATGTCAAGGTGACCGTCACTCTTTTACCTAAAATGCATTCTTTCGGACTTAAGAACATGCGAATGTGTAGCTCACCAAGTACTGATAAACTTTTGTTGAAGATATTTTTTAATTGTTCTACCGGAAATACCTAAGAAAAATGGTGTTGAAACATTCTTAGTAGACCCTGTATACCTAGTCCTGAGGACGCAAATTGTAACGGAAGCCACGAATACCGCCAATAAAGTCTTGAATCTAATGTTGCAACGATTCCACATTTCTCTGTCAAGGTATGGCATTTTGTGGGGTGATCGGCCACACTGTCAGGAGGCAGTACATGATTTTCGGCACGCCTGTCGACAAAGCAGCGTCGCTGATGTCGATTTCTTATGGAAAAGTTTGTTACATATCATTATTCGTTCATTTCTTATTTCTAAATTTTGTACCATCAGAATACAGCACGTTAAACTTGTTACAGATGTCCTGCGACTATGACACCATCTTCTATAGTCACATGAGCAAAGAGAAGTTTCGTTCGAGAGGCATGAAGACGTTGCAGGGATTTGGAAAGTTTCATGTTTACGAAGTGCTCGACACCTATCCGTAAAACGATAAACACCCTTCTTGAGTTCATGCTTTCTAAGGGACTAACTTTACTTACTTAAAGGTATGTCCTTTCCGGGATGACAGAGAGGCCCTTGAACGTCGAGTACACGTATCCCATACTCGGACGAGTTCAAGAAGTGGAATACTTCAAGGACATCCTGGACGAAATCGGGGTGCCAGGACGAACATATTCGGGGTTACTTATCGAGGTTCGACCTTTATTCTTTTAGTTTCGATCCAAGAAGGGCAAAGAAACGCTAAATACTCTTACACTAAAATACTCATCGCGATCAATTGATCAGGGTAACGAGAGATCGGGCAAGTCGCGACTCTTGGATGCGTTCGTCACGGTAGTTAGAAACAGGCAAATCAAGTTGGTTACGGTTCCGTTGCACTTATCTCACGTGGAGAAAGAGTACGCGGTGCTATACGAAATACTCCTTCAAGTAAGCGAAACGAATAATATGTAAGCTTTCATTTGTCTTCTTACTTATTTGCGTTAAAGATCTCAGAGTATTTTTATCTAGTTATTCGACACTGTGGACTGTACGACGATCAACGATCGCGAGAGGATTTTATTGAACAAATTGACCACCGTCCTATCCCCAAATGATTTCTGCTACCTGAACGTCATCATGAGAGTTCAGTTTCCCCATTCGGAGGAGTACTGCAGAGACAGCGACTGGAAGCGTCACAAGAAGACCGTCATGATCTTCCAAGCTATATTAAGCAAGGTCACAGCTCTATCTATACCATTTATCGAGTTTATACTAGTTGTTAACCCTTTGTACTCCTATGCCATTGTTCGTTGTTTTTTTATTTAAATGCATGAGTATTTATACTCGTATTGCACTTCTCTTTTCTTTAGTCTCTTACAAACACGATTTATAACTAGACCTAATTCACTCTTTCTTATATTCTTGCATATTGTTTGCATTTTGTAGGTTCTTGCACATTCAAATTTCCTATAAATTCATAAAGATCCGCAGTCTACTTATAACTATTTTGTACACGCACATCTTGAATCTAATTTTTACATATAGTCTAAGTTAAGAATAGAGTTCTCTACACTCGATAGTGAAGGAAATTGTTTCAAGAGATACGATACACTTGAAAATTACGAAATGCAACAAAAGTGAGAATACAACTGACATTTCAGTGAATTTCTTTCTTCCTTTATTTATTTTAATTGCCTTATTTTTTAGTTAAAGTAACTTTCAAATAAAACACAAAACATTGAAGCTGTTGATAACGAAAATGAAATTAAAGTGCAAATTGGAGAAATTGGAGTGCAAAGGATTAACAAACTATTCTTCAACTCTAGGTAGTTGGGAACGTCTGCATTCTGTTGGACGACGTGCAGCACATGGACGTCCTGTCTTGGCAGTTTCTGTCCGCCGCACTGGAGAGGGACAACATCGTCCTGGCGATGACACTCTTGGAGCCAGTGTCCTGGGACAACCTGTCACCGGTGGAGGCGGGAATCTGCGAGGACAAGAGGCTGATGAACAGATCCCTGGTTGGACTGAACTCTGAGTACTTGGCGGCCTTTGCTTGCCAGTTCTTGAACGTGTTCGCGATACCTAGTAGCCTCGAGATGTAAGCAACTTCCACTTTTGTTTTTCACCTACAAGTTCATGCTGCAGACTGAGACAATATTTAACAAAGAAAAATGACATATCGCAAAAAATCTTGATAATGGGACCACCGGGGAGGCTTGCACTACAAGATGCAACAGGTTTCATTCCGATTGGTCAAGCCGTCTCGGCGTAATCGGTGAACATACCTAAAAAAAAATATATATATATATATATATATGTATATACATGTCGAATTGAGTAACTTTCTCCTTTTCGAAGTCGGTTAAAAACTACAGCAATTTTATAGTGACGGTATAATGATTACGTCAGAAAATATTGTAAAACGAGAGAGATTACCTTTTCTTATAACACTTAAGATAATGCTTAGTATATTAATTTGAGTAGCAGAAGAATAAGTGGCATGTACTTATGAGTGTCGTGAACTCATGAAACCTAATGTATAACGATTGAGGTAATTAAGCGTTAGAGGTGTTGTTCTTATGCTTTCAGAATACTTAAGAAATGCAGCAAGAACGCCATCAGCTGGTGCGAAGCGTTCCTGATGTCCGCCTTGCAAACAGAGGCTCTAACTTTCATCACTCTGTCGCCGTTAGAGGTGCAACACTACAAGCTTGTTTTCCCCGACTCTTCTCTTCTGGCGAAGATACCAGCGGACATGACGCCCGAAGATGTGGCACCACCTATGCACTGGTCGCAGATGAGCGCGATATACGTGTGCATCCCCTCTGGGAGGCTGTTGAGCTTCCTCGAGACCGATCGGGACGTTACAGGTGATTACAGTTATCAATGCATCAATTACTAGCTTCGGAATACTATTTATTTTATGTCGTTCGTGTTCACAAACAGGTTTATCAGATTGCTGAGTATTTAAATACCGATGTATACCTAAATATTTGTATATGTTTATATATATTATAATATATTATATAAATTTATTATATATTACTTCATAAAATTAGACACATTATGTACCTTAAACAATTATTGACATAGAATTATATCAAACACGTGTGACATATAATTTAAATTCATAAATAAGTATGGTATAGATAACACAATTATACTTCAAATAATTTGTGAACGTTTCTTAGGTTTGAGGATCGACATCTACAACAGAATGAACTCCTACGAGCAAGACTTCATAAAGTGCGCGGCGACGTTGGGTGGAGTTTTCCTGCGCAGCATGCTCGAGACTGTGATGACCAATTCAGCGCCGCTGTACACCGCCAAAGGAAAGTGTATCTCGTTTGTTGCGAGAAGTATCGGCCGCACAAGGTCGATACTTCTTCCCACGACACGCGCAATTATCGAACTAGCTTTTCGTCGTTTCAGCAGCCGTGGCAGAAATGATAAAGCTGCGGATCCTAGAGTGTGGCATGATCCAGAGGAAACACTTTCATATGGACGAGTCGATGTTTTACCTGTTCAAGAAGCGGCGAACCTTCAGCAACATGCACCACTCGGAGGTGTGCGACTGTCGACCTACCCGTTAGTCGATATTATTACTAAACTAACTAAACGTATTATAACTAAACGCAGCGCGGATGCTGTCTTACCGCTGATTAGTTTTTTCCCAGGCACATTCGGCATTAGATCCTTGCCATTGAACGCGCACTGCAAAGTACTGGAATTCACGATAGGATCTTATCGAAAGCTCTTGTACGACATCCTACCGCCACACGAGAAGAAGGAGTATCACGCGAAGGCCGCGAACATCCTCCAGCGGAACGCCAGGAAGTGCAGCACTTGCGGTGGCGGCAAGTTCCTGGCGATTTTTTCGAAAGAAGATACGATATCGCCCGTCAGTTCCTTTCTCCATGTTGTTTTCAAAATGTTTAAGAGGTATCTAGTCTAGAGCATCAATTTTTAGTTCTCTTTGAGGATTTTTTTTTTAAATCAATACAAGTAATTTGGTTTTAACGGGCTTTGCACATGTATTTATTCACATTTTAAGAACATACACAATTTTTTGCAAGTAAAAATAATACAAATTGAACGCAGTACAAGTGATCTTGTAGAGACCCTTCTGAAAAAGTATGTTCGTGTTCCGTATTCGACAAAATTCTTTGGCAGATGTATTTTTAAATGTCCACAGAAAAAAATCGATATTTTGGAAGTTCTAGACTAGAACGCACCCTTAAGACGATAACATTGTATTTTCCAAGTTTTCAACGCGTCATTTTAGAGCGTCGAACCGATGTCGTCGATGATGTTATCGATGCAGAGAAGACTGACGACGCTTCAGAGTCGAAGCGACATATGGGAGTCCAGGCGAAGTATTTTTCAACCTGACGACAACGATGCATTAAAAAGACGAGAAAGCGTGAACATCCGCAAGATATCCATTCTGCCTGCCATCACAGACAGCGTCGAAGGTAACGATTAGGGATAGTGACATTGTATATACAACTATGCATACCAGAGATTTTTCGTTACATAACGTAGGGGTCACTTTCGAGCCCGGAAAGCCAACTTTCTCGAGTTCGGAGCCAACGATAGACGTCTCCTGGGAAGGCCAATTGAGGCAGTTCAACCACATAGACTACCGCAACTGTCGCTGCAGCAACGCTATAAACTATCTCTTCTGGAATCTTCACTGTCACATTTCGAGCGCAAGTAAATCTGTTCATCAGGAGACGATGCTTTGTAAATACTGTTACGTATCTGAGTTTGTGACCATTGTCCTACCGCTTCTTCCAGTGGACGTCGAGAGGTTGATAAAGTCCATGTTCGAGTACACTGCTGGCTTGATCGAGACCGCACAGTTCGCTTTCGCCATAAAATTCCTCGCTACCAACAGCGCTGACATCGAGATCATAAAGATCAAGGAGCACATGATGACGAACACCTCGGATACAAACATTACCAAAGGAAATACCTTCATTTTAATGGGTAACTGAATATTTTGTATACTCTTAATCCTTTGCACTCGGATGTCCCTCTCGAGGGGACGTTGGAAGTCCAGAGAACTTTAGTATCGGATAAGATAAATTCCGTGGAGGTTTCTGTTCAAGTAGCACGAATAGAATCAAAGTAGCATTACTAGCAGTACAAAGTAGCTTTTTATTCTACATCATTTAATACAACATGATTCCTCTTGGCACATTCTGCAACAAAATGGCTTCGAGCGCAAAGGGTTAAGATACAATATATGTAAATTATAAAATATTTTTTTGCTATTCTGTTGCCCAGGTGACGCTTACATGGAGTACGGGTATTACTCGCAGGCGAAGAAGTATTACATGGAGGCAGCAGCGTTGCGAAATCTCCCTCTCCAAACTTACAAGGAAGTTTGTTACAGCACGATCCTGGAGAGATTGCGATACATGCTGGCAGGTTTCTCCAGTTACGTTGCGAATCGAAGGTCTAGCCAATCGGTGATCGAGACGTTGGAAACGTCCGTGTACATGGAGCGATTGTCCACGGTTTTGATGGTACGGAGTATGGTCTTAGTAGAAGTAGAAGTAACAGGCAAGCACAAAGACTTTGAATTGTCAACGTGATCCGCAGCTGGAGGAGGAGCCGAAAAGGGCGAGGCTGATAGTTCTGCAGAGTCTCAGATCCGTCTTCAAGTGCGTGGGAGGATTCCTGGAGAAGGGTAGGATCTACATTACGGCTGTGGAAATTTTTCGGTGTTACGGATATCACGACTTGTTATACTCTCTGGAGAAGCCAATGATGGTTGCCATTGAAACGAAAACTAATTGGAACTCTGTGGAGGAGATGACCTTGCTAGCAGATGTGTATCAAAGGCTGTTCGAGAACAGGTGATATGATACGGTTGTATTCGTCCTGTATAGTACTGTGGGGTTGAGTGCCTGTAGAGGGAGAGCGAGAGAGAAGAGAAAAGGAAGGGAGCGTTTCTAAGGACGGGATCTAGCAGACCCCGTGCCTTAGACGTCGGGATATTTGGAGTTCGATCGGGAAGGGCTTATATAGAAAAGTTTGGAGGAACCGAGTGCTTGTGGGAAACGTGCGGACCGCACGGTTTCCCTCTCATGGTGAGGAGCGGAGGTGCCACCACAGTACAATCCTTTTTACTATTGAAAACTATTCTTGGTAATGTATCTGTTAACAAAAGACTGCTGAGAGGTGATTTGGTCGGGTCCGCCGAAATTGGAACTAAATTATTGAAGATATGCAACTGCCTACACATCTCCACAGTGAAGCTTGCTATCCTACCATCTCTGATAGAAGTTCTGGTAAAGACTCCATTTCCAGCAGCCTTCTCACTTGCGTATAATTTGATTTACTCTCTGATTCTAATGGGTGTTCCAGGTTTGGTTGAAACGTTTGAACGAGTCAGTCGATTTGCTCAAGGAACTATACTTTTCCGCCAAGGAGGACATAGATCAGTCTTCCATCACCTGGTACTACGCTCTGTCTTTGGAATTGCTCCTGGACGCCGGAATGGTCTTGGAGTCCTACGAGGCCTGTCTCTCGTATCACTCTAAAGCTATCGGTAAGCGTCTTTCCCATAATTGTCGAATACGAAACTTGCTAGTACATCGCAGAATCATTTCATGTATTAAATATGTTCTCGATCAGTTTGCAGGTCCAGATCCTGCGTGTCACGGGATCCAGAAAGCTTGATGCGCCTCACCACTTGTTTAGGCATCTGGCAATTGAGAATGTGAGTACTTGGAACACGTTACCAAGTTGTACTTTACCATTTAGCGTTATTTAATTCGCAGGATCGTGCCAGTGGTCGACGAGTTCATACTGGACGTAGACGTGTACACGAAGGGCATCGAGCGAGGCAAGTTCTCGCAGATCTACAATTGCGTCAAGGTAACGAGATCGCTGAAAAATTGACTAGTATACATTCGAGGACACTGTATTTACAAGGCTTGGACCAAGTAATTTGGCTGGCCTCTCCTTATCGCAGGGTTTAGAGAGCTACCTGCTAATACTCAATCGTCGAATCAATATCAAGCAGTCCAACGACCTGATCGTTCGATTGGAGAACGCCAACATCCTTAGGACGGTCCTTCGAGAATCGTCCTCTCGCGCGCCGTTCGTTAAACCGTTTTTATACTTGTTACGAGCCTACATGAGCGTCCAACGAGGAAGAAAGCCCATGTCCCAGTACCTCTTAAAGAAATCGCATAAATGGTCCTCGTATCAGCAAAATCAGATGATGCTGGCCTGGGCCATGCAGAATGAAAGAGTAAGGCTTCGGATTAATGGCTTTTCTTCGCAACAATGTCGCGGGTTAATCGTTGTAGACGTGGACGGAGAAATACAACAACATGGCGGGCTATTGGTCCGAACACGTGGGCGCCTCGGATGCTATTCGATGGCAGGAAATTCACGATTTCGACTTGGACGCTTGGTCGACGATAATGTACCCACTTCCGATTCCTGATAGTACTATTTAAAGAAGCTGTACTTCGCAGGTGACGATATACTTAGCGATAACGTAACAGGAGGTAGGAATTTTAGCGAAATATTTATTGATTAAAGGCGTGTTACAGTTCCAGGTTCTAAAAGGTATACACGACGATCCCCTCGTATGCACGACAATTCGTTAAAGCGAACGTGCACGTTCTCTAGGTTCGTTCCTCTCGTCCGCAAGGCGACCCCCTCGCTAGCTGTACAGCTCGACGAGTCGAATAAGATCTCCCGGCTTGGTTGGACCTCTGACAGAATCTTACCACAGTCTCATGTTCGCCACCTATTCGTCGATGCTCGAGCGACTACCTCGGAGATCTTATCAAACTCGTCGAGTTACATCTCCGTATTATTCTTTTTTTTAGGAAACCTCTCGCGACCGATAGTTCCAGTTACTTTCGCGCGTCCGACGATTACGGAATTGCACTTTGTAGTTAATTGATCTAAAGGATTCGGCCGAGTACGCCAAGGACGCTCGATTGCTTCGAGGCTAACAAAACGGGGATCAGCGAACAAGGACAAGACAATGAAGGGAAAGTAGGACTGCAGTTGTAAGGCTCGAGGGACAACGCGATAAAATACAGAAAGAGTAATTTGATTATACGTCGAGGATAAGGCTAGAGTGTCGCGGGCATGCACGAGTGGAAAGATATCGAAATCTTGCTTGGCAAATGGGTTAAGTGACCTAATCTACAAGGTCGTTACCATTAGCTATCGACGTATATTAATATAATATACGCCCACTGACGGCGACGACGCGCATTTATCTTCCGTTTACCGACAAACGTCGTGTTCCCTTCGTGGCGAGCAACTCGTCCTTATTCGTCGACGGATTTTCTATCACTCTTAAACACATGCCTTTATATGTATATGTTGGTGTAGATCGTAGACGAGAACACGGTTACAGCTATGGTTAGACGAAATTTTCTGTATTCGAATGTCGTTATATAAAACATCTTGATTAGGTAGTATCTAATACTTTAAGCTAAAGCATCCAAACGGACGCGTTGAGAGCTGACAGGAAATCTCGCGGCAAGTAGACGTTAGTTTCGCCGCGACTCTTTTCTTTCATTCGAAGAAGCAACATTCTATTTAGATAAAAAAAACTATAATACATTTTTTTTTTGCAATGTTCATCCGCCATTGAACACTTGAATTTTAGTTTTCTCGTAATAAAATATCATTCTATAATACAAATTCTACTCTCTACTCGCTCAACGAGTAACGGATAAAAAAAATCTTTGCGCGTCTTTTATTCGTTATTCGAGATTTCTAACCAGACGTAAATTCTGCTCGTCCTGGTCCTGTCGCGGGAAAAGAGAAAGTTTAGATGTTCGAGTCGATGTTTCATTGGCGTACTCGGCCAGAAATGAACGTATTCATCGGACACGGCCGGCGGAGAGAAACTGGTGACGTAATTTTTGATCGAATGGTTAGGTGTAAAAACTCGTTTCGTCCCCACCGGTGGCGCTTAACTCTTTTCGGTTGGCTGGTCCTCGATCGCACGGAACAACGACGGTTCATTCGTGCCCGTCGACGTCGTTGTCGATGCGACTGCTTCGTATACCCGTCTTGCCCGTCCACGGGTAGATGTCTGGACACGCCTGACAAGTCTTCATGTATCTCACGCCGCTCTTGTGCCAGAGATTACAGACCTTTGGGTTGTTGCACTTCTTCGGCCGATCCTGCAACGTTCAATAACAAAAGCTCGAATTAGAATAGATTTGCAAACGGTGTTTTCCAATTGCTTGATACCCAAACGTTGAAGTTATGCTCGCGGATCTACTGATCGAGTCCACGTACCGGGTAGTTGCATCCAAAAGGTTCGAATGTGTGCATCAGCGGCAATGGCGTGGGATTCCTGACCCATTGTATCGCCTGCCAGTTCGTCACGATCCAGACGTCGTCCATCGCGACGATGGTGTCGAGGAAGGAAATAAAACCTTCCTTGTGATGAGGCTGGGTGAACCAGGCAGCGTGGTAGAACAGCCCAAATGGTGCTCTGCGAAAATAATTTAGTTTTAAGTGAGATAACAGAGAAGATTCATTTCTTGGTACATGTCCTATTAACTTCTCTTACTTTTTTGCTACAGATCCCATTACCTTCCCTTCATTTCCTGGCACACTTCCCTTTAAATTCCCTTTATTTCCTGACAAATTTCCCATTAACTTCACTACATTTCCTGGCACAGTTCCTCTTAACTTCCTTTCACTTCCTGGCACACTTCCCTTTAAATTCCCTTTATTTCCTGACAAATTTCCCATTAACTTCACTACATTTCCTGGCACAGTTCCTCTTAACTTCCTTTCACTTCCTCGCACATTTCCCTTTAATTTCCCTTCATATTCTGGCATACCTCATTTAATTTGCCTCAATATTCTGATACATTTCTCGTCAATTTCCTCCATTTCCTGATACATTTCTCGTCATGTCTTGGCACAATTCCCCTTAAAGGGTACATTTATCTATCAGGAGAACATGATACGCGAGGAGATGGGACGAGGAATACAAGGTACGTATGAAATTGTGACTCCAATATTACTCCTGGTATCAGAAGAACATGATATGCGAAGACGTGGCACGAGAAATTCATGGTACGTATCCAATTCTGGCTCGAATTTTACTCCTGGTATCAGGACAACATGATATCCGCAGAAGTGGCACGAGGAATCTTTGGTATGTTATCAAATTATGGCTTAAATTTCACTCCTGGTATCAGGAGGACATGATATGTGAAGAGGTGGCACGAAAAATACCAGGTACGTATCGAAATTCTGAGGAAATTTTACATTTTGGTATCAGGAGCACATGATATGCGAAGAGGTGGCACAAGAAATTCAAGGTATGTATCGAAATTCTGAGGAAATTTTATATTTTGGTATCAAGAGAACACGATGTGCGAAGAGGTGGCTCGTTTGCGCCTACGGACAGGCAACCGGTACGACGTGACTGTCAGTATAGGTTGCCTAGTTCAAGGGGCTAATTTTTGCTAAATTTCGGAATTCTGGCCGATTTGGCATTTTGGTATCAGGAGCACATGATGCACGAAGAGGTGGCACGTTTGCGCCTACGGACAGGCAACCAGTCCGACA